TTTTGGGGCATTGTAGATTGTAGATTATAGAGGAGTCATTTCGGCTTTTCAGCCGCTCAGCACTGCTACCTTTGCAGATATTTTGTACGTGACTCTACATGTTATGTTTGTCCAGGAAGCGTAGACTTCTGCCGGAGGAAGCTATTTTCCTGGGTGTCAGTTGGCCCACTTATTCTGGTGACAGTGTTGGCTCCTCGAGGGATTTGAGCCTCTTGCAGAATTGGGATAGACATTCGCAGAGTAGGTGCTCTGCGGTCTCTATTGCGTCTGGGCAGAATCTGCAGAGATCGTCTTCTGCTCTTCCCATTAACTTTAAATGGTATTTTACCAGGCAGTGTCCTGTGAACAGTCCTACCACCAATCTTACCACCAATCTGATGTCTGGTGTCTGGTCTGCTTATGTTTAGGAGCTGTTTAGCTCTTTTTGCTGAAAGGGTAATGAACCTTTTTGACTGTCTGAGTCCCGGAGTGTGCCTCCAATATAATGACAGTTAGTCTTTTTCCCATTTGTTGAGTTCTTCCATGATGTGGCTTTTTATTAAGCCACAGTAGGGCTTTGGTCCATGGTATGGTGTTGAGGCCCCTTCTTTTGCGAGGCCATCTGCTTCTTCGTTTCCTTCTATGCCTCGATGACAAGGCAGCCACATCAACGTTACCTGGTTGTGTCACTAGTGTTTTTAGGGTCTGTTTACACTCCCAGACTAGTTTTGACGTGCATTTGAAAGCCCTTAAGGCTTTTAAGGCAGCTTGGCTGTCCAATAGTATGAAGATATGTTTTCTTTTGAAACTTTGGCTAAGACACTCTTGTGCACATATATCTATGGCAAGCAGTTCGGCTTGAAATATTGTAAGATGTTTACCCAATGCCTTGGAGAGCTTGAAGTTAGGGCCGGAAATGCCCAGTCCAGCTCCTCCTATTAGCTTGGATCCATCTGTATACCACAGAGATGCATTGTCTGCTTGTGATAATTCTTTATTCTCCCATGATTGGCGGTCGTTTTATTATCACTGCGAATGGGATCTCTGAGTCCAATCTGACCATCATGTGGTCACTTGATTTGCTGGCATTCTCCAGTTTTATTTAATCAAGGATGCGCAGATGTCCCTTCAGATCACCAGGCTTGAACTTGTCTGTTTGGAATAGCCTGTGAGCGCTGGTTATTGCCTGCTTTTTCACACATAGGTGAAGTGGGGGCATGTTGAGTAGCGTCTCTAGAGCTGCGGTGGGGCAAGTTGATATTGCTCCCGTTATTCCTAGACATATCAGCCTTTGTACCTTTCTTAGCTTGATCTGAGCGGTGACTGGGTTTTGGGCCACCACACCAATAAGGCATAAGAATGAGGCGTATGATGGGCTCTATTATAGTTTGGTAAATCCAGAATACCATCCTTGGCTTTTAGCCCCCATGTTTTGCCAACAAGTTTTCGGCATGACCCAGATGGCTGATGTAGTTCGAGAGCATGTTTTCTCTAACTATTGGTTCCAAGTTAGTGTTCGGTTCAGGGTGACCCTAAATACTTCACTTCGTTGGAAAATGTTAGTTGTGTACCGTTAAGGGTGGCAGCTTTCAAATTTCGCTTCCTTCTTCTTGTGAACGCGACAAAGATTGTTTTGTTTGCGTTGAGGGATAATCCCTCGCCTTCGCTCCAATTTTCAACGATGTTTAGGGCACTTTGCATTCGGCTTGTCATTACGCCTTCATGTTTGCCCTTGATTATAATGGCCAGGTTATTTGCATAGCCTATGACCTGGTATCCAGCATTACTCAGTCTGTGAGAGCGATCTCTTTGCACTCGATTGTATTTTCAATGTCATTAACTAAGCTGTTTAAAAACCTATTGTGGGTTTGCCTGGCTGATAAGCATATTGCTTTAAGTAGAGCGGTCTTCTCAATAGAGTTTCACTTCTGATGTACTGGTCAATTGCTTTCTCCATTATCTTAAGGAGAAAGGAGGTTAGGCTAATGGGACGATATGATTTTGGTTCGTCCTCAGGTCGATGACTCGTTTTTGGTATGAATATCACATTAGCTCAGAGTCGTAACTAGACCAGTTTGTGCCTGTGACAGGTTATTAATTTGCGCCCCCGCCCCATATCCAATATAAAAAAGTAGGTAACTGATATAAAAATTCCTGTTTCATCTGACATTGATAAAATATTTACATTAGAAACTCAGAATTTGAAATCACTCAATAACATAACATACATAGTTATTATGTAATAAGCAAAAAACAGGCAAAGGAACACAAAAAAAAAGGATTGTTGACTATACAGGGTGTTTTTTCAAACCTAAGTGAGCATTCACACCAAAGTAGCATGCGACGTGCGACTTGCTGCTAGAAAGCAGAAAACACGCAAATTATCAAAATATACGACACGCCACTCCGGTGTGAAACCTGCTATATACAATGTGTCCAAGATAACGAGGGCCAGTATGGGGATCTGATGATATGGTGCCTAAAGACGAAACGTAGGATTACAAATGATAATGTCATATTGTAGAGGAGGAAAAGTGGCAATGACAAAGTGCCATTTATTTTGAAATATTTCTTCAAAGAAGGTCAGAATTTCGGGTTTTTCTAGATCTCCGGTATCACTCGGAATATTTCAAATATCAGTGCGGTATTTCAATGCAACTTTTCCTTAATTTGAGCCACATCGTATCTTCCACTGTTTACGAGATCCCCATAACATGTTGTATATAGGTTCTAAAATAAGTATGGCATGCTTCTTGCTTTTTGGCAGCAAGTCGCACGTCGCATGTTACTTTGGTGTGAATACCCACTCATAGAGTCAGTTCCTACATAGCACGACCACTGAGAAAAACCTAATTTAGCTGTCACAGTATTAAGACCAACAAAAATTTCTTCAATCTTTGTTATATGGTCTGTTCTCACAAAAGTCTGTGACTGTTTGCAAACTGTCAGTAAGCCTCGACCATACATGTTTTCAATGCCGTCACTTTAACATACTTAGGGCCAAATTATGGACCAACTGGTAAGTGTCTGGTTGTTACCTGGCAGGTACTTTCTATTCTCTAGTGCATAGAATGTACCTGCTAGGTAACAACCAGACGTTTACCAGTCAGTCCATAATTTGGCCCTTAAATCGCTAAATTAACTGAGTGATTCTTTCTGACAGGTTGCAAACTGTCAGAGACTACTGTGAGAACAGACCTATAATTGCCTGAATGACTTGCAAGAGTTCAATTTCCAAATGTGTTTTGGATGGGCCTCGTCATTTCCTTCCTCACCAGGCATTTTTGGTTTATATATTGTTCTGGGTTAATTGTTTCAGTATCATTATCAATAAATCAATATCTATTTCGCTGTATCAAGTTTAGAATCTGGAAAGCGCTCTTTAAACTTTTGCTGTGTTGCTCGAAAGGCGCTTCACGCTCAACGATTAGTGGCAGATTGCGCCCTTCGGAAGCTTGCGCCCGTGTCAAATGCCACCTTCGCCATGCCCTAGTTACGGCACTATTAGCTTCCCTCCAAGATAGCGGTATGTGCCCTAGGTGCAGGCTTGCCCAAAAAAGCTTTTGTAGGTGTACCTTTAAGTACTCGTAGCTTTTTTGCAGTTGTGCGGGAAAGATCCCGTCTTTGCCTGGAGATTTGTAGGGTCTGAAGCTATCAGTTGCCGATTTTATTCTGTTCATTGTGAAGATTTTCCCAGCCAGCCTTTTGCTCCTGCCGTTAGGGCTTTGGGACCCCTCGATAGGCGGAGTGACCTGGTTCAAGGCTTCAACGATTACCGAACCTGGAACGTGAGTTTGTAGCAGTACCTCTGGACTTTCTATATTGTCGGTACAGTGTAGAATCACTCTGGATTAACTTTCCTTTTCGTCCTGGAGAATCATCGATATAGGTAATGTACTTATCTGCTCAAAAATAGAAATTAAATGGACTTCCTTCATTGTGAAAATTTCCTGGCTTTTGGAGCGACGTGGACTAATTTGGACTATCCTGGTCTCTCGCGAACTACAGAATCGGTTTTGATCATTTCTTCTGACTTCTGGAACACTGAACAGCGAGTTTTGGCTACTAGAGCACTGTGGAATTATTGTAGTTCTTAATGAAAGCTTCAAAATTGTATTTAGTTGAAATCGCTGGAGTTTAATGTTTTTGAGAAAATCGAATTTGAAGTTTTGGACAAAATGTCGACTAAATTTCATTCAAATTTGAACCACAATATCTCGGAACCTACACAAGCTACAGAAATCAATTTTGCACGATTTATAAAGAATTTGTTACTCTTTCGAATCTATCGATTTAAAAAGTCAAAATTGAGAAAAAAAAAATCAGGAAATTATTTTGAATCAATTATTCCGGCTTCTGGAATGCTGATGTGAACTCCATTCAAATTCTCCTGGCTTCTGTAGCATTATAAAGTCGTTTTGAATTAATCTTCATAGCTGTAGCTCTTCTTCTCTCTATAATTTGGGCCTGTAGGACTTTGAATTTATTGAATGGCTTCTTTCTGAGATTTCTGAGCTTCTACGGCATTGTGCAGTCGCTCAGGACAATTTTTTTGCTCTGGGAACATTGTGGAGTTTGTTTGGAATAATTCTTCTAGCTTTTAGAGCGCTGTAAACTGGATGTAGACTCTCCGGCTTTTGAGGAGAAATGGGTAGATTTTAAAGTCATAATATCGTGACGGAGAACCATGTTGCCTAACATTAGAGTTGTGAGCCCTACAAATCTTGTATGTTCGATCTGTAAAATATCTTCAACTATAGTCTATACTAAATATTTATAGTTTTCAGTCCAAAATGATCAATCTTGAAGTCAACCAAGAGTCGGAATTCGTATCATAATCAAAATGTTGAAAGTTTTAACTCTGAAATCATTAGCTCTAAGGATTTAAAATTTTGCGGAGTCTGAATTCTATAAAATATTTAAATTCCCCAAATGACCTACTTCGTTTCTTGCCGATTACAGAAATAAATTGAAAGCGTCCTAAAACTCCTCAATTTCCCGAGCTCACTCGAAAAAATTAAATGAAAAAGTCAGTCTCTCAGAAGATTTTCTATGGCAATTGTTACCGCAAATTAGGGCAGTTTTTGAGTGAAAAGGTAAATTACAACTCACCCAAAAGTATATCAATTTGATTAAAATAAAAGGTGAATAGCGAATTTATAAGTATTTGGGGTAAAGTGCACACACCTCTAGCCAATGATCATCAAAGCTTTATTTCAAATTTGTTACAGGGCGAAAAGGGTGATATGGGCCGCAGAGGTAGAAGAGGGAAAATTGGGCCTCAAGGCGCACCAGGACCCCCAGGCAAGTTTGGGGAAATCGGATTACCAGGATGGACGGTAAGTTAAAAAAAAAAAAAATTGAATTCCATTTTCCAAGTAAATTGCATAAGAGGGTTATGATAATAATAACTTTTAATATAAAAAAAGTAACGTCATTTAGGCAAACATAACAAAAAAGTAGAATAATAATGTTTTCGTAAGTTTGAAACATCAAGCGGACCGTAAGGACAATTTTAAAACAAACTTTTATGTCATTATTCTTCCCAGTTGAAGTCTATATTTGTTTTCTTTTCGTATGCTTTCTCGACTGGAAAGAACGGGAAGGTAAGTAAAGCGTCCCGGTGCTATATTTTAAAAGTTTAGATGCATATTAAATTTTCGACTACCGGTAGTAGAATGGAAATCTGATGTGCTTCTTGTCGGAGTTATTATTGTTTTAAAATGTTCCAGGGAAGACCTGGTTTGGCGGGACTGCAAGGACCGAAAGGTGAAAAAGGAGAACAAGGAACGGTGAGTTCGTAGATTAGTTCCTTTACTTTTTGACTATTTCTGAAAAATTAAATTCTATTTTCAAAGCGCCAAGCCTACAATCTAATTAATAAATCGAACGTGACTGCAGAGGCATAAAAACGGACTCGTTAATTTGAATTCCTGCCCTTTTTTCTTTTAATAAAACGAACAAACAATGTACTTCTTTATTGATGCTAATAGCATTTTTGAGCGCCTTTATTCAATATTTAATTAATATTATTTATTCAAGGGTTCAAAAGGTGACAAAGGCGATAAAGGACAGGATGGACTTCCAGGCAAGGATGGCAAAGACTCAGAAAGCCGATTCATTCCGGTACCTGGTCCACCTGGACCACCAGGCGCACCAGGATTACCGGGATTGTCAATAACTGGCCCCAAAGGCGAACCTGGAGAATCTATATTTAGCGAACCGTACATCAATATACGTCCAGGTAAATAATTATAATGGTGTTTATTTGGTTGCATGTTTCCATAAGTCTAGACTTTCGAATAATAATTTCAACCTTGATATTAAAGTCACAGGGTGCAAGTCTAGAATAATATAATATAATCCTCTTATTTACTGTTCTAATTCATTCAACATTCTGTTTGTGTTTGTCTCAAAAGGGTCACTGATAAATTCAATTATTTGCAACACAATCGTCTCTAATTGAGTCCCATCTCAATGACAAAACCGCCCAAACTTGTCTCATTATACCGTGACACTGAAAACTTTCCAGTTAAATCCCTCAACGCCATGTTTGATTCGGTTTGAAATATGCAAGTGACCCTTGTTCGGATTTGGGTCTTTGTGTACTATTTTGGTCTAAAAATAAAATTATTTTGTTCCAAACTTGCTTAAGAAGCCGAAAGTACCTTGGACGAGTTGAGAGCTGTAAAGGAGTTGAAGGAGCTGAGATTGGATGCAGCAGGTAGTTTAGTGTCTGATTTTGTGTTGTGATAGTGTTGCACCATAGTTCGCACCAAAAAAAAATATGCACAATAGATAATGCACATTTAGTTTAAGGATGTTCTCCCGGGATATTGCGAAAAAGTGACTCCATTGAAAAATTTTTTTATTGACATATAGTTATTTCTCGAGAACAATTTAAACTATAGATTTCAAAGCACTTTTTTTAATATGGTGATTTTATAGTTGAATTTCTGGGCACTCAATTTCCAAGTTTTTGTGGCAAGACATCCAAAAATCATTCCTTCATAGTGCGGGAATTGAGGATGTGAGAGGTGTTACAAATAATACTCGTTATTTGAACTTTAAGATAAGAGAACCTAGGGTCGTGGAATTTAAAAAATTAAGATAACGTTTCATTTGCACATAAAAGGACTACACGCTATCTTAATTTTTTTGAATTCCACGACCCTAGGTTCTCTTGTCTTGAAGTTCAAATAACTCATTTATTTTTTCATTTTTTCATTTTCATTAAATTAGCTTGATTATTTGAACTTTAAGACAAGGTTACCTAGGGTCGTGGAATTCAAAAGATTAAGATAACGTGTAGTCCCTTTATGTGCAATTGAAACCACTTTTTTTTTCGTTCACAATGTAAGTAACAGTCAATGTTACTTTCTTTAAAATTTGACAGTTGACAGCTTGGTTGTTCCGGTGAATCTGATACAATGTATCTTTTCAATCCGGAGCTCTTCAATGAATGTTGGGATTTCACTTTTGTGAACTGAAGCTCTTCGGGTTATTTCCTGTATCCAGGAAAGAGGATAGATTGCTGGGGTGACGTCACTCCAGCTGATCCAGACTCCAAACAGTGATCTTTATGTCGAGTAGGTACCCAGAAAAGAAAAAGGCAGCATTAGGTTCACCAAGATTTGGAATAGTAAATCCCTGAATTCTGTCAAAAAAGAGTGTCTTGCAAAGAAAATTTAAATTGAAATTCAATAATGTTGTGCAAACACTTCTTCCCTACAGAATCAGGTAAGTATGAGCGACTATTGTAAATTGGGGAAATATTTTAATTAAAAAAAATACAATTAAATAATTGAAAAATAATCATAAAAATTGATAACGAAGATTAAATTGAAATGCTCGTTACAAATTGAGCACAGTGCTGCTTTTCTGACAGTAGCAATAACAGGCAAGAATAAGAACAAAATCAGTTAAAAAAAAAAAATAAGCAATTAAGTCTCTAGATTCTCCCCCAAATAGTCAAAATTTTCCTTTTAAGCCAAGGTAGCTACTATAGGTACTACAAGATAAACCTGAGGGTGAAAGCAATCAAATCCAGGAACTGTCAAAATTCTTGAGATGTTTTAATTAAAATTTTTTTAAATGAATTTTTCACCTGTCTGGATTTCTATTTTAAAAAAAATTACACCCTTTTTCAACACTCTTCTCTTCGAGAAGATAATAATTTTAGGAGTCAAACAGAAAATGGCCTCTGCCTGGATTCAATGAAGAGTTGATAGGGATGGACACACAAATTTGGTTTTCACCGACTCTATTTAGAGCAAATGGTCCAATATTCCCACACTAACAATTGATTCTGAAAACCAGAGCAGCAGTACCTATTCATTAGCTCAAGAATCTGAATTTGACACCTCAGAAAATGTGGAACCACCAATCATACAAAATGGAGGGCCACAATTAGATAAAAAAATTAAAATATAATATTCATATTTCAAAAAATAGATAAGATTTATCAGGTAAAAACTCAACAATGATATGGTAGCACTGATGACAAAATATATTGAACAATTATAGGGGAGAATCTAAAAATGTGAAGGAAAAATGATTAAAAATAAAAATGACTTAAGAATAGCTAAGGAAAACTATCACAATTTAAAAAAATAAATTCATTCGGTACTAGATGGCAGTACTCATATTTGAATGAATTATTATTTTGCTGCTCCTGAAATGGCAAAAATACAACTTTATAATGAAAATTAGAAGAAATGGAACATGTTACGTAAATGAAAAATTTATCGTAACAGAGGATGGAGAATCAAAAACTAGAGCCAAAAACAAACAAAAATATGTTTAAGAAAAGTTTAAATAGGTATTTATTTCGATATTTAAATTTATGGATGATTTTTTATAGAGAAATTACTCGACATCTATCCAAGAAAACAACCAAAATTCACTTATAATACCATCAGTGCCTAAATTATTCCAGAATTCTGGAATTTCTAGTCAATCCCAGGTCGTAGATCAGCCAGCTGAGTCTTTATAGATGTAATTTTACTTTTAGTTTCAGCGCTGTGGGGTAGTGAAAAGCAGGAAGAAAGTTTGTTTTAATTCCAATAGATTATCCATATCAGATTCATGTTTTCCTAAATAAAATTCCATCATCATCATGAAGCAAGAAATAAAGTATTATCTTGATTTTTAAACATAGGTACATTGTTTGGTTTTCAGTGAAATTAGCTCTTTTGAATTTAAAAATTCAGTAAAACGTTCATTCCAGCTTACTTGTTTCAAACCGTAAAAAAATTGTTTTCAATAAGCATACTGGTCTTTTGCTTCTTTGTATCCCTCTGGCACTTCCATAAATATTTTTTCATTTTAGTTTCGCATATAAAAAATGCAGTTTTTATGTCAAAAGGGTTTGGGTATACGCAAATTCCTATTAGTTGCTAATCCAAATAATATTCTTAGATAATTTATGTCCACCACTGGACTAAATATACCAAATTTTTATTCGAAACCTCTGAACACTAATTTCGCTTTTGTATAGTCCATTGTCTTTGATACAAAAAACCAATTTACTCGATAACACATTATTGTCTTCAATGTCACATCTCTTCATATAAATTCATGTATTATTATTATAAAGTGATGTTTTCTCTTCTTCAATAATTGCTTCTATCCAATTCTGTTTATCTAAGGCCTTCATCATATGTTAACATTGCATGTTCTGTATCATTTAGATCATAATACTTAGTTAGAGTTGAATTAAGAAAGTTTTACTTAGGATTCTCTATGACTCACTGCAGTATACTGAATGTTTGTATTTACCACTCCCCTATATATCTTGTCTGAGGTGAGGGAGTTTTTGAATGGTTTGGAGGTTCTATTGATTCTATTGATTCAACTCCCTCCTCTTGCCTCGATTGTTCTGATTGGGGATCTTAACAGTGATGTCCATGGTCCGAATACTCAAAATTCAATCCAAAACATTTCAAGGAGTTTCAATCTAATTATGCATGTTGTGGAACCAACCAGAATATCTGATCATGTGTGTTGTAATTTTCAGAATATCTCTTGTTAGGATTTGAATGCTTCACTTTCTAATCATGAGGAGAAATTGTCTGTTTTCAATTTATCAACAGAATCATTTCCGTTGTCCTCTTGACAGGGTCGAATATTTTGTGAAGGTAACTTTATTAAATTTGGCTACCTCCTGAATGCCGGAACCCATTAGGTTCTTTTCACAGTGCCTTGACCAAAACATCTAATCAAGCCTTTCCTACCGTCACAAGCAGAGAAAAACCGGTAGGAAGGGATGGCTTACCGGAGGAATTAGGATATCCGCAAGAAACATGCGATGTCTGCACTATCTCAGAAAGTTTTTCCATAAAAGTCTACTTCTTTTGTCCTTGTCTACAAAGTATCGAAAAAATTGGTTCCAGTCGTACTTAAGTGATCGTCAGCAGGTAATTTCCTATAGGGTCGAATTTTCAGATAAAATGAGCAACAACTGCGGAGTGCCTTAGGACTCTATCCTTGGCCCCCTTTTGTTCTTGTTCTATATCAATGATCTAGCCACTCTTAGGGTCGGAAGAAGTATTAGACTTTTCGCTGACGAAACATCCATTGTCTGGCATGCGAACAGTGCAGAACTCTTGGAATATATGATTAATGTCGATTTAGATTTGATAAAAACTTGGTGCGACAACAACAATCTATCCTTCAACATATATAAGACCAATATATCAAACTTCAAGTGCTCGTTATCCAATATCTCTTATATGTGGTTGTAGGGGCAACAGGATACCCCTACTAGAAAAAACAGTTTGTGTTTGTTTAGTGGACTGTATTATTAATTAGAAAGGGAAAGTCAAAAGAGCGAGCTCTTTAACAAAACACAATCTATTGTTTCACAATCACAGGCAAAGTTTACGTAGGTAAACCGTAACAACAGCGCCCGGTTGAAAGTGCATGGTAAATTTCAACACGTAAATAACAAAAGCTCGTACTAAAGTTTCTTGAATAATTACAGAATCAGTTCGATACCGATTTCACTGGTAATTTTATCCGATTTTCTCGACTATTTTTTAGAACGTTAGAGAAGAAGCGTGCGGCCGTACCGCGTCAGGAGCAATGATCCCTTTCAAGGTCTAATGGCAACTACATCCACTTGTTTTTGAATAGAGAATTAGAGCAAATTCGTTGCCACGCCACCTGCTCCGCGACGACAACAAGATCATGCAGTTTTGATTGGTGCGCCGACTCACCTGATTTTTAAATGGGCCAATCAGG